GGGATCATCACTAGAAGGTTTGAACACCACTACAAAAGAATAGGAGGATCATCACAGCAATTTTGAACACAGTTACATGAAGAATGGGGATCATTGCAGCAATTTTGAACACAGTTGCATGAAGAATGGGGATCATTGCAGCAATTTTGAACACAATTGCATGAAGAATGGGGATCATTGCAGCAATTTTGAACACAGTTACATGAAGAATGGGGATCATTGCAGCAATTTTGAACACAGTTACATGAAGAATGGGGATCATTGCAGCAATTTTGAACACAGTTACATGAAGAATGGGGATCATTGCAGCAATTTTGGTAGATTCATTTCTGAAACTATAGAGGTGCTGTTGAAGTCTGGTCCTTATTTTAGTTTTATGATATTAAGTCTGTGAACCTATTCTTTAGTTAGTACTTACCATTAAATTAGGGGTACAGGTACTAATAATTCCACAAACTGCCACTGTTGCAGTGGTACTTACCACCCAATTAAGGGTATAACTACAGGTACTAATAAATCTACAAACTTATCATTTTTGTCAGTGGTATTTACCAGCAAACTAAAGGTAAAGCTACAGGTATTAAAATGGCCCCTTAAGAACATAAACCTTTATAATTAAAGTTATCTTAAAAAGTTTCCCTACACTCATTTATATGTTTTACATGTTATCTTTAGAAGTGGGAAACAAAGTCATGAGTGTTTTATTATGCAGCAGAATAAAATATTCTATTTTTTGCATTACATATTATGGGTAAGTCAGCTAATTTCCTTGCTTTAATTGTAATAAGGTCTATCAGTTATTTCATTTAATTCCATTTGGACTTTCACAAAAATGAATGTTTAAAATACTCTTCTGTTGCTGTTTTACAAAAATGTTTTAAAAGCTTGATACATATAAATATTGATAGAAAAAAAATTTCAATTTTTTTTAGTTTAAACTAAGTCAGTTCCTTCCTTCCCTCCCTTTAAATTAATGAACCAGTACTAGTGATCCTGGTGATTAATACATGTGCAGAAACACTTCTTCCACAAACCATAGGATCAAGTGTACCTCCTATTTTAACTGGGCACACACACACACTATTTCCACAAACCACACGATAAGGAATACCTTCTATTTTAATTGGTACAAACACACTGTTTCCACATACCACACGATCGGGAGTACCTCCTATTTTAATTGGGTACAAACACACTGTTTCCACAAACCACATGATCAAAAGTACCTCCTATTTTAATTGGCACACACACACTATTTCCACAAACCACATGATCAGGAGTACCTTCTATTTTAATTGGGTACAACTAGAACATCTGATGTATCATATAAATTGATAATGATGATTTTGAGGGGTGGTGTTTAATCAAAACCTTCAGAACACCTGATGTCTCATATAAATCATGATAACAATGATTTCTGGTGTTATTGTTTAATCAAAATCTTCAGAACACCTGATGTCTCATATAAATCATGATAATAATTATTTCTGGTGTTATTGTTTAATCAAAATCTTTAGAACACCTGATGTTTCATATAAATCATGATAATAATTATTTCTGGTGTTATTGTTTATTCCAACTCTTCATAACACCTGATGTATCATATAAACTAATGATAACAATATTTGGTGTTATTGTTTAATCCAACTCTTCATAACACCTGATGTATCATACAAACTAATGATAATAATATTTGGTCTTATTATATAATCCATCTCTTCATAACACCTGATATGTCATATAAACTTATGATAACAATAATATTCGGTGTTATTATTTAATCCAACTCTTCATAACACCTGATGTATCATATAAGCTCATGATAACAATAACTTTGCATTATTATCATTTACTCCAAGCGTATATAATCCTTAAGGAAATGGCAGTGCCCTTGCTTACCTTAATTTGTTGCATGTTGTAAGTTAAATTTACAAATTAAACAAGAACACAGAACTTTTAATCTAATATGAAATTTTAACAAACAATGTTTGTATAAATTATGGGATATAAGTGACTAAAAATTGAAGCTTATTAAAAAGCAAAAATCATATTAAAAAAGGAAAAAAGTGAAAAATCAGAATGACACTGACAAAACAGAAACAGTTGTCAGGTTCTTGTGCACCTGGGTATTAACCCTCTCACCATGGGCAGGTCAAATGCCCATGCCACAACACTTTAGAGTTACATTCAAAGTTTAATTAACTCTCTCACCACAGGTCAGTCGAACTGACCATCTACATAACCATTTTGTACTTGTTTTACAAGTTATATTTACCAATTTCAACCTGATACATAAGAGTATTTTAGTTAATATTATCTGTGATGTATTAACTTCGTGGCTATGGGCTCGGTCAAGTCGATTGGACCAACCACATGACCACTTTGTACTCATTACAATTTCTTTACTATACTATAACTTTTATTACAGTATGTTTATCTTCAAAAACTTTGGCAGACTTTATGTAAACATTAGACGTCTATTTTAATTTTGAAATTATGTATTTTTACTAACGATTTATCTGTGAATATATGAAGTTATTTTTTTTTATTAGTGCGAGTGCAAAATTATTTTCATGTTAAGATTAAAAGTATTTTTCTTCCTCTCAAAATTATCAAATTTCATTTGTGTAATCTCTAAAACCTCCTACATAAATTTAAACTATTTTTTGTAAAACTTCATATTTCATCTGTTATTTTCTCTACTCTACTCTAACTCTATACAAGGTTGGTCAATTTGACAGACCTTGTAACCGCTATAGAAAAAATGTAATAAATCTAAATTATCCTTTTCTTCTTTCTAGAATGACTTCAAATTGTAACATGAAACTACACTTGTTTATCCTAAGCAGCTTTAAACTCATACATCTGTTTCTACTTAAATTTTATTGTTTTATTTCCCTTTGAACCATGTCTAACTGATATTTGTACCATATAAGTTGTAAATCACATGAACATGCAGCTCACATTACATTTAACGCCCCCTACAAGAAGTATGGAATTTAACATAAATTACTCATTACAATATAGATATTACTCAGAAAAAGCATATTTTTATAGCCTTCAATCTTATGTGTTTATGGAATCATAAACTAGAAAATCAGATTTATTTGCCATGCCCACCTGTCACATCCTCTCTTTCACAAATTCCCAATAGTTCTCTCTATGTTATTTATAAGCAATAGAAAGCCAAAGTTTTAATCTATCAAATTATGTATTTTATGTTGTTTTTTTTTGCATAGAATAGGCTATTTCACCTCCAATTTGAAACTTTTTCTCAAAAAGTTCACATTGGCAAGCTTAGCTGAATTTTTAAAGGCTCTTATCGCACAGTTAGAATACCAGAAAAATTATGATATTTGTAAGACATTGCTTGCTTTGTGTATTTTATTCTTCTGTGTTCTTAGGTGCAATGTTTAATTAAATAGAAATTATTTTGTGTACTAGTACCATTAGTATAAAAAAGTTTGATTTGTTTTGAATTTTGCAAAGCTACACAAGGGCTATCTGCACTAGCTGTTCCTAATTTAGAGGGAAGGCAGCTTGTCATCACCAGCCTCTGTCAACTCTTGGGTTATTCTTTTACCAACAAATAATGGGATTGACCATCACATAATGCTCCCATGACAGAAAGGGCATGCATGTTTTGTAGGACAGGGATTCGAACCCGTGACCCTCAGATTGCGAGTCGAGTGCCCTAACCACCTGGCCATGTCCAGGCCCATATAAAAATGTAGAATTGAGTTTCATTGACAGTTGACAGCAAAAAACATAAGGACCGAGATAAGAATTATATTTCTTGTTTTTCATTACAGAACTACCTAAAATGTAAAAATTAAAAACTTATATGGTCAGATAATGTTAGATTAGGTATGATAATGAAAAATAAAAATTCTTCATGAAGTATAAGTAGCACTTGCATTACATAATTTGATATGATAATGTGGGCTGCACATTTAACTGAAGAATTTACAACTTGTGTGGCAGGATCGTTAGTTAGACAAACCAATAAAATTAAGTACAAATAAATGTATTCTGTTACAAGCTTTAAGCTATTTAAGATAAGCAATTGTAGTCTCATATTTGAATTTGCAGTCATTCTAGAAAGAAAAAATAGTAATTCAGATTTAGTTCATACTTTTTATTTATGGTCTGTCAAGTTGGTCGAATGGGTATAAAGTTAGGATAAAAAAATAATAGATAAAATACAAAAGTTTCACTGAAAAAAAAATTTTTTTGGATATTTATTTAGGTTTTACAAATGAAATTTGACAAATTTCAAATGAAAAAGTACTTTTAATCTTAACATGAAAATCACTTTTCACTCAGAGCAATCAACACTCTTTACTATATATATATATATATTCAAAGACAAATTTTTAGTAAAAACACTTTATTAAAAAAATCTGATTTTTTGTGTACAAAAGACTTGTAGTATGTATTGAAAGCTTTCCAAATTTTGTGAAGATACAAAAAATATATTAAAAGTTATAGTATGGAAACTTTGATGGCCACTTTAGGGACAAAAACTCAGTCGAATCGACCAAGCCTATAGTGAGAAAGTTAATTTATTGAGCTATTGATGCAAATTATAAATGACAATCCACTACACTATTCAATATTAATTTTACCAAATATACACAAGGCATTATATTAGACTGTGATGATTTATTAACAATGAGTTACGTCTATTACAAGGCATTATATTAGACTGTGATGATTTATTAACAATGAGTTACATCTATTACAAGGCATTATATTAGACTGTGATGATTTATTAACAATGAGTTACGTCTATTACAGGGCATTATATTAGACTGTGATGATTTATTAACAATGAGTTACATCTATTACAAGGCATTATATTAGACTGTGATGATTTATTAACAATGAGTTATGTCTATTACACATATTAACAGTCAGAATGACATCTACAAGATACACTATTCTATACATTTGGACAAATACTTAAAGTAAAAAAAAAAACATACTAGCTCTGAAGTAACTCTCATACAGATAAGAGAATTCAATAACAAAAAAGTTAGTCTTATCAGTTTAAATAAAAACATAGAATCATTATTTATATTTTTTTCAGTTATGAATGTTCTTCAATATTAGTTTATGTTCTGATTCACATACCTGGTTGTTTCCCAATGAAATAGGTGGATAAAGCCACTTTGTACTTGATATGTTTAGATCTTTAATACCAATAATGTTTTTTGTACCATTACTTTCACTACAGAAGTAGACAAGTAGATACGCTGGCTCTGTTCAATCAAAAACCATAAACAGTTATTGTTAACTTCAAAAAAAAAACTTTTTTAATCAATTTCTTATAGTATTAGTGACTTTTAGACTAATCTAAAAAAGTAAACTTTTTTAAGAGTGTACATACAAAAATTAGTAAAAATATACAGACTATATAAAGAATTTCCTCAGTGCTACACACAAAACAAGATCATTATACAGCTATATTCAGAAATAGAAAATATGGTTATATTTTTACCTCTGCCAATTTAGAAGACAATACCTGAAACAGTGGAAAAACTTGGTCATCGTGGTCCCCAGTGCAAAATATTCAATAATTTTGTTTGAAGAACAGTTATGAAAATAAACTCAAACTTTTCTGTTTGCTTCATTAGATAAGAGGACAATTATTTTCAAAAGCCCTTTTACAATATCTGAATAGCGGAATCTTAATGCAACTCGTGAATCATGAGTAGAATACCATCGAATTGGACATAATCTTTCAAGTGTTACTTTCTCAATAACGTTGTAGACAGAAGCCAATTTGTTTAACATAGCCTGCCGTTTTATACTACAACCAAAGAAATCAAAGATGTTCAACAGTATCATAAAAGATTTTAATTTCAAAGATATTTTGAACACAATCAATGAGAACAAGATTTAGATTATGGGCATCACAATGAATGTATTCAGCATTTGGTTCTCTTTCAGCTATTCTTGCTTGAACTCCCAAATATATATACTGCTCATATTTGCTGCACCATCATACCCTCGACCATGGAATTGATTCAAAATGAATCCATTTTCTTCAATTGAATTAACAATTTCATTTTATAATCCAATAGCAGTTTGAGTAGAAACCTGATGAAATCCAACAAATGATTCCTTGATTTCAAAGTCACAATGAAGTCCGTTTGAGTTAGTGTTTATTTTAATATATCAAAAGATTTGACTCATTTGATTGACTTTTGAAATGTCTTGTGTTTTATCTATAATTATTGAAAAAAAAAACAGAGTTGGTTTTATGTCATCAATAATTTCTCTTCTGACTTTTTAGCACTTATCATGATAACTTAATCCTGTATTTTAAAACTAAGATATTTGACTTGTCCCTTTTTTCTTTTCAATTTTCAAGTAACTGTGCAAGAACAGGACCATATTTTTTTAACAGTTGAATAACAGAAAGAAAATTTCCACTATCAGGTTTATCAAAGCTCTCTCTGTGTCCTCTAAAGAGCAAGATTGTAGAAGCTAACATGTTATATTAATTATTCACTCTAAAACAACTCTGCAAAATTTTATTTCCTTCTGTTTTTCATTTTCATGTTGTTCTTCTAAGGTTTTGTTAAACATCATCTTTGTATTGTCAGACAAGCAACAAGATGTGTTCTTGTGCATTCATTTGTCTGAATTTTTTTGAGTCTTTCCCAGTTTGCCCCTGAAGAAGAAGAGTCTACCTTTCAAAAATGCCTGGGATATAGGGTTTTATCATTTTATATTAAGACTTCTTGAACCTACGTATTTTTCTGACATCATGAACAAGCATCATTAAAAGAAGAAGACTTACAATTGGCAAAAAAATCAGCATAGTTCACAATATGCACTATCTGTTACTGGCAAATAACAACCACATTCTAGGCAGCACCATTCTCAATTTCAATTTCTTAGAATAAAAAAGCTACTGAAAAACATCGATCACCCTGATTCACATCCCTGGGAAATAGTTCTTTGGGTCTACACAATCCCTTTGATATAATTAAACATTTTTAGCACACTGTTTTCAATATTTGCAGGAAAGTGTCCTTGGTCAGATGACAATATCGAGTCCATTAGTGGTATTTCAGCTGTTTCTTCATAAGATTCTTTATTTGTATTTGACTCTATTTCAATCACATTTAAATGAGTTACAGTACTTGATTTTTTGTCCTAACTAAATTTTAAACACGTACTTGAACAACCTGTTTCTTCACTATAATTATTTGTTAGATTAGTCTAGTTTTTGGTAAATTAGAAATATTTTTTTTTATCCTCTCTTTTTGCTTTGCTTTGCTTTTTTGGTAACCACTTTTATGCTTGGTTCAGACATTTTCAATTATTAAGGGAGAAGTTATTCAAATATTAATGTAATCCACCACTGGGTCCACACCTGCCACCAACAACCAAGTAGTAGTATTGCATGAAATATGTATCACACACGGATAAATAAATGACTGACTCTCGCAAAAGCAGCAGTTTCTGGCATGTACTTATTTCCTGCTTATGTCCAGACACATTATTCTTGGTTACTAGACATGGGAAATGTAATATTACAACCCCCAGGCATCTAAGGCTGTGGTTGGCTAGTGATAACATCATTCTGAAATTCAGTTATAAAAAAAATGAACTATTATTGGTGGAGACCAAGCCCAGAGTTACGGTCCACTCTAAGCAATCGAATCTGGGAACGAGTGCTATTATGTGAAGTGTATAGAGAAATCCCCTTATATAAAAAAATAAAATTACAGTACAAGGTTTTTTTTATTTTCTAAGTATTTTCAGTTTGAAAAATAATTTTTAGTTTTTCAATAGACATTAAAAAGTAAATATATAGTTTTGTATTTATAATGCATAAAATTGATTTATTGATCCTGACATCGAGATGGGCCCCTACTAGGCTGGGGGCCCTGGTGCATTGCACCAGCTGCCCCCCCCCTCTGGTACTTTTGCCACTATCTTAAGAACAATTCTGATTCTTCCCTAAGGTTAAGAAATTACAAATAGAAATGACATAACTTCTTAGAGAAGACAATGCCTGGTATATGTAAGATATTAAAAAACCTACTTTTACATGTCTTAACTTCTTAGGGAAGACAATGGTATATGTAAGATATTAAAAAACCTACTTTTACATGTCTTAACTTCTTAGGGAAGACAATGGTATATGTAAGATATTAAAAAACCTACTTTTACATGTCTTAACTTCTTAGAGAAGACAATGGTATATGTAAGATATTAAAAACCTACTTTTACATGTCTTCTCATCACTTGATAAAAGCATTCCATAAGGGCAAACACAGGTTGGTTTCCTGCCAGAATTCAGGACACATATGTGAGAACAGCCATTGTTACCAAGTTGACAAGGGTCTGCCATACCTAATGACACAAAGAAGTAAAGGATAAAAGAATTTTAATTCCAGTTACATTTTGTTCTTAATATAGAAATAAATGTGTTACAGGAGGAATTTCCGAGTCATTTCGTATGTTTTTACACCAACATCTTAAAACTAAACCTAACCTGGACTATAAATACAGTTTAATAATTACATTTATTAAGTATTCATATTATAAAGCTACCCTACAGCTTAATTCCTCACTTACCATAAAGCAGAATAAAACAGCATGGTATCCTAATCCTTTTAGATGCTGTTCCATTCTTTAAAAAAAACAAAAAAACTACCCTACAATATAACTCCTTGTTTACCATAAAAATCAGATTTGATAGTGGTTTTTCATGTTGAATCCAGCAATACAGTTTGTATGGCTTTCAGGATACAAAATGGAAATCAACAATAAAATCTTTGATATTTTTTATGTTTTCCAACTTTCCCTGGCTCCTGGAGATACACAAAGCTTTGTAATGAAATGATTAAAAACAATGATCTGGAAGTAGCACTAAATGAAACATGACTGTTTTATCTCTTTATTTGTTAATGTTTCAACTTCAATGATATTTGTTAATGTTCCACCTTGAACGATATTTGTTAATGTTCCACCTTGAACGATATTTGTGAATGTTTCACCTTGAATGATATTTGTGAATGTTTCACCTTGAATGATATTTGTGAATGTTTCACCTTGAATGATATTTGTTAATGTTTCACCTTGAATGATATTTGTTAATGTTTCAACTTGACTGATATTTGTTAATGTTTCAACTTGAA